TCCCATGAACCCAGCAGTCCTCCTGGTGGAGGGGACAATCTCTGGGATAGACTGTTGAATGATGGCAGAGAAATGGAGGTAAACCCTTGATAAGTGGTGTTTACCAAACCTGATGGTGTCGGTGACTTTGCACAAAAGAGAAAGGCACAGCCAAGGGTGTTTTTTAAGCTTTGTCATTATCACCTGATATTGTCCTTTAATAGTTGGGACAACTCTACTTCTAGATGCACGGCCAGTGACTCTTATTGATTTGAGTGGCTGGCCAGAGGCAGACTAATTGGGCCCAGAGATTGGAACAGTGATTCAGCAGGAAGGGTGAACTGATGAGGCAGAGTCGACTGTCTGCTGGTGGGCTGGCTTTGCAGCAGTTCTTCCTGCCCACAGTACCTGGGAGCTTAGCAGGCCAGATGTCACTGCCATGCCATTACTTGAGAGCAGGGCAGGGTTCAGATGGTCTGTCAGCCCATGGTAAGACCATACTCCCCAGGTCCCGATAGTACCACTCAGTATCCCTTGCACTTAACCTTTCAAGCTTCTGAAGTTGATGATGAACAAGGGCTCTAGCATCCGCCTATAGAATCTAACCCATGGCTGAGTATCATGCTCCCCACATACTACCCCTTCCTAAAAATAGAGTTCTGCTACATTGGGATGGGGCTCTCTGCCAAGAGCCCCAGAATCTAACCCATCTCTTCATCTCATCAGGCCCATGCCAAGGGTCTCTAAAAATAAAGACCCATGGCAGTCATTTTTCAACTTTTTTTGAATAGCATTTTCAGTGCATGCTGTCTGTCATCTTGTTTCTTTTCTAAATGTGTTGATTGAACAGTGGGTGGCTAGGTAGTGTTTTTGTTAGCACAGAATCCAACAGCTGATTTTATTTTTGAAAATATATTGGAAAAAAAAAAAAATCCCGAGACGTAGGCCATCCCATGGAAACGTCCCTTCACCCTATAATCGTGTTTTCTAAAAAGCGTGCACTTTAATAACTTATCAGAACAAAGATAAACTCCATGAATTGGCAAGCTATTTACATCACTCTGAATTGATTTTTGATCCTTGTCAAACATCCATTTTTACCAGTTTGGATCGGTGCTGGCGTTCTATTTAGTGAGCTGCTTTTCCATGGAACATTATTTCTTTTATAATATATAATAACTTGGTAACAGTAACTCGTGTTTCCGTTGCATTTTATAGTTTACAAAGCTCTTTCTGTTCCTTATTGCGAGCTTCCTATTGTATTGTCCTGTATTGTATTGCGTGAGGCAGGGCTGCATAAAGAAAGAAGCAAGAAAAACCTGGGTCCAAATCCTACATTTGATGGTTTACATGTTTTGTGATCTTACCAAAAGTCCTTTGCTGTCGAGTCAATTCCGACTCATGGCAGCCCTGTAGGACAGAGTAGAACTGCCCCATATGGTTTCCAGGGAGTGGCTGGTGGATTCGAACTGCTCGTCTTTTGCAGCTGACCACTTAATGACTACGGCCCCGGGGCTCCTTTTTCGACCTTGAGCGGTACTTTAATGTCTTAGAACTCTGGTTTCCTTCTCTGTAAAATGGGAAAAATGAAGATTAAAGAGAGCATGTATGTAGAGTGCCTCGTGGCACAATGCCAGGCATGTATTGTTGTGTGCCGTCAAGTTGATTCTGACTCATAGCAACTCCATGTGACAGTAGAAATGCCCCATAGGGTTTCCTAGACTGTAACCTTTATGGAGTAGAACACCAGTTCTTTTCTCCCATGGAGCCGCTGGGAGGTTTCAAACTGCCAATCTTCCGGTTAGCAGCTGAGCACAGAATCATCGCGCCACCAGGGCTGCTTCCCAAGTGTGTAGTAGGTACGAAATAATGATAATTTCAGGGTTTTTTTTTCTGTTATAAATAGTAATCACTAGTTTCAAACTTTTATGTGGCTCTTTATTTTTGGATTATATTTCTGTGTGGCCAACAAGTGATTTTTCCTCCTATGAACCAATGACCCTGACAGGAAAACAGTCTCAATATTTTACCTTGAAGAAATTGTTAATTGTTGAAAATACCTTGATGGATTCATAAAGTTTCAGATCAAGCAGAGAATTCTTATGCATTCTGAAACTGGTGCTGAAAATTCAGAGGTAATCCCTATCCCCTCCAAAACTTCAGAAACAGAAAAAAACAATCCATTCGGTTAACATGAATGTGAATGTATAATTATCTCAGGGGAGAGGACAAACCCTTTTAAATATTCATTTATTCATTCATTTATTTATTCACTCATTAACTCACGTGAGTATTCAATAAACATCTGCTGAGTGTTGAGTTTGTGCTAGGCATTGGTGAAAACATTGGCTGTGGAAAGAATTTTATGGAGAAAATACATTTTGGAAGAAAAACCAAAAAGTCAAATTGATGACACCACCTGTTTTATTTTAGTTGATTGCATCTGTTGTCAAAAAGAAAAAGCTAAATGAATCTGCTTAGGGCAGGTGCTTAAGAAGGGAAATTGAATGAAAACAGAAGGTGAAATGGAGTAGTTTTTTTTTTTTTTAACTCTGCTCCACCCAGAACTACCCACCAGTGAATTTCAAGAGGTTAGTGAATCCCCTGAATTATGTGCAGAGTTACATATGTTCATTTTCTGGGCTTCGTAGCTGGCATCAAGTTTTCAAAGGGGATCATGACCTCCTATAAAGCTAAGAACTCTGACTTCCATTCCAACAGGCCCTCTCATTTTAAAGTAACTGACGGTGGATTCCCCACCACAGAGTGCTTTAAAAACCGGTTTTGTTTATTTGTTTGTTTTAATTTTTCAAGTGATCCATTCAGTGACACTGATCACAGTTCTAATATGGTGCAACCATCACCATTCTTGGTTTCTAAAACTTCTTCATCACCCCGGTTTTACAAGTACTGTCAACTATTTTGGACTATGAATTACGTTACTAATTAGTTATTAGCAGTTAATATTAACCAATAAAATCTATGACTGCTCTTATGATTGATGACATTAGATATTAATAATTACCAATAGTACTAATAGTGACTAATTATGTAATTGATTAGTAACAGAAAAATCTTTAAAGTGCCTCTCAGTGCTGTTTTGATATTAATGATAATGAAAATTTCCATAATGAAAAGTGATCATATAATAAATGATGAGAAATTACTGTTTGGCCAGAAGTTTCCTCCCCAAGATGTAGACCCCACCACTAGAGCAATGTGTATACCCACCTCTGGCCCAGGGTGAATACCTAGAAGACTTGTTGTGCTGTTGTTGCCTGCCATTGAGTTGATTCTGACTCATAGTGACCCCATGTGACAGAGTAGAACTGCCCCTTAGGATTTTCTAGGCTGCAGTCTTCATGGGAGCAGATCGCCAGGTCTGATGGGTGGCTTTGAACTGCTAACCTTTTGGTTAGCAGCCTAGTGCTTAACTGTCACACCACCAGGGCTCCTTTACCTAGAAGATAATAAATAAATATTGATTGAACAAATGAGAAAACCTCATTGTGGCTCCTCCCCTTACCCCTCCTGGGCGAGGCTCCCTGAAATTTGGACTAGAGCAAAACGCTGGAGAGCTTTGCTTGCCTGAACTCAGAGCCCAGAGGGGAATTCAGGCACCTCAAATGGCGTGCGTGTCCTTGGCCCGGACCTTAGTAGATTGTTTCTGTTTCCTATGCACCAGCTCTGCCTCCCTTTTTGTGGCGGCCAAGGGCCATCTGAGGGCATGGTGGTGTGATGCAGATGCCCGGAGGCTGTTGCGATCAGGGGCCAGGGTCTGACTGATGCGGCTGGGCTTCTTGGTCACTACTTCTTTCTTCTAGTTTCATGTGACACAAACAGAAACAAAACATAAACTAAATCGATTAGCATAAGGTCACAGGTATAGCCTATGAAAGAGTAGACAAGACTGAAAAGAAATTAGACTGCAGCCTAATGTAATTAAGAAAGGTTTGGATAGAAATTGAGTATAATAACCCTATGTGATGATCCTTTTAGAACGGTGTCTGGTACATCCCCTAGGATAGGGCTTAAAACAAAGCCACAGATGCCTAGCAGCCTTGCTTTAGACTGATTTCTTTCGTATCTCACAGTGCCTAACACAGTGTTGGGCATAACATCGTAAACCAGGAAAAGTCAAACCAGTTGCCGTTGAGTAGATTCTGATTCATAGCGACCCCATGTGTGTCGGAATAGAAACTGAAAACCATAGAGTTTTTCTTTTTTCAATAGCTATGATCTTTCAACACGTGCCCTGGTGGCATAGTGGTTAAGAGCTCAGTGGCTAATCAGAAGGTCGGCAGTTTGAATTCACCAGCCGCTCCTTGGAAACCTTTGGGGCAGTTCTTCTCTATCCTACAGAGTTGCTACGAGTTGGAATCGACTGGACGGCGACAGGTTTGGTTTGGTTTGGTGATCTTTCAGAACTGGCTTGCCAGGCCTTTCTTTCAAGATACCTCTGGGTGGATTTGAACCACCAACCTTTTGGTTAGTAGCCAAGCACTTAACCATTTGCACCACTCAGGGACTCCTTATAACATATAAACCAAAAATCCAAACCTGTTGCCATTGAGTCAACTGCAACTCATAGCAACCTCATGTGTTACAAACTAGAACTGCTTCATAGGATTTTCTTGGCTGTAATCTTTACAAAGCAGATTGCCAGGCCTTTCTTCAGTGGTGTCACTGAGTGGGTTTGAACTACAACCTTTAGGTTAGTAGCAAAAAGGAGCATAAGCTAAGGCTCATCGCTGGGGCTCTGTAAGGCCTTTTGGATGGATTGAATGAGGAAGGTCTTTTGGTACAGAGATGTCCACAGTTCTTTAGTTCTTGCTTATTGCCATCTGGCATAGCGACAGGTGGAGATGGATGTTCTTGGAGAACTCAGACTATATTTGATACCAAGAGCTGCTAGGAAGATATGTTCAGTGCTTCTCCCCAGGCCTGACTTGGAACACCTGTAGTGTACCCAGGAGGGCCTATAGGAGAGCAGGACAATTGCCTCCGTGTTTCCGTCCTAGAATGCTGGAACATCTCTCAAGTGCCTAGCATCACCCTGGCTCATCCACTACAGAGCCTTCATCTGTGAGTTTGTGAAACCTTCTCCAATGCAGTGGTGGGGCAGCCTGAGAACAGAGTCCCTGCACGCAGAGAGAGGTGTGGTGTGCTCTGCGGATGTCACTGGTCTCTTGTTCTCTGCTAGTGATGTTTAATTTCAGATAATTAAACCAACACTTGAAATGCTGGGTAAGTCTTATAAAAGCATCTTTTTTTCATCATATCATCGCTCCAGAATCACCCAAAACCAAAAACCAAACCCATTGCCATTGAGCCGATTCTGACTCATAGTGGTCCTGTAAGACAGAGTAGAACTGCCCCATAGAGTTTCCAAGGCTGTAATCTTTACAGAAGCAGACTACCACATCTTTCTCCCACAGAGTAGCTGGTAGGTTCAAATTGCCGGCCTTTTGGTTAGCAGCCGAGCGCTTAACCAGTGTGCCACCAATCCAGTAATCCAAGCTTTTTATCCAAGTGGTCAAATCCTTTCTCTCTTGTCTCATCCAGCCTTCTTTTCTTATCCCAATTTAATTTTTTTATTATGAAATATTTCAGATGACAAAAAGCATAGAAAATTATATACATATATATGTTTATGTTGGTTAAGTAGATGGTGAGCGAAAAAGAGGAAGAGCCTCAACGAGATGGATTGACACAGTGGCTTCAACAATGGGCTCAAACATAGCAACGATTGTGAGGATGGTGCAGGACCAGGCAGTGTTTCCTTCTGTGTACATGGGATCGCTATGAGTTGGAATCAACTCAACAGCACCTAACAACAACAAACTTATGAAATAATAATTTAAAAAATGGGTCATCTGACAGGGGACTTGGTGGATTTCAGGTGCTTGTCCTGGCCGTGAAGCAACTGTTTCCAGAGTTTGAGTTTATGTGGCTGGTGGATGAAGCCAAGAAGAATCTGCCTTTGGAGCTGGATTTCCTCAGTGAAGGAAGGAATGCCGAGAAAGTGGCCCAAATGCTCAAGCAGTTTGACTTCTTAAAGGTAGGAGGGGCAGGGCAATAGGGGCATGGTGATCTGGTGGGAGAGCACTCGGGGAGGACTTGGCCCTGCCCAAGTGTCCCCCCTGTTAGAACATGGGTGAGACCATCTCCTTCCTGAGCCTCCTTTCCAAGGACAAATGATTTGTCATTTGTGCTGTACATCAGAGCCCTCCAAGGCAAAGCTACAAAGAAACACCAAACATGATTCTTGGTCTGTCAGTCAAACAGATGTTTATTGACTAATCTAAAATTGGAAGACACCAATCACTATCCAAGGGCCATAAGCTGTGGTCTCTGCTTCCATGAAGCATAGGATGATGATGTTGATGATGATGATGGTAATGATAGCTAATACTTACTGTACTACTGGTACTGTTCTAAATACTTTATATCTATCATAGCAGCTCATTTAATATACACTCAGTTCTGCTATAATGTGACATATGTGTTCTTAAAAATCACCATACTATGAAAAGTCACACAACAGAAACCACAGGTCTTATTGGAAAAATGGAGTTAGAGGTACAACACTCAAAAACTTCATCAGTGATGCATTAAAAAAGGATAACAAATCAGTTGTGGTTGAGTCAACTCCGACTTCTGATGACCCCATGTGTGTCAGAGTAGAACTGTGCTCTGTAAGATTTTCCATGGCTGATTTTTTGGAGTAGATCACCAGGCCTCTCTTTTAAGGTGCCTCTGGGTGGACTTGAACCTCCAACCTTGTGGTTAGCAGCTGAGAGTGTTAACAATTTGCACCATCCAGGACTCCAAAAAAAAGGATAGGAACCTAATAAACATGCTATTACAGTATTATACATGTTAGATGGTTAAGAAATATGTAATACTACAAATACATATGGCACTTTACCTTCAAGCTTGCTTGTGGAAATGGGCATCGGAAGGCTTGCATCTTGTTAGTTATTGTGCGTGGTGGGATAGAAGGTTGTAACAACAGATGTGGATGGGTGCAGTTCATAACACATTCAGTGATGTTTGAGGTGTGTGCGTTTTGAGTATTCTTATAGTTTTCTGCGTTCACATATTTCTTGCAGGTGACATTACACATAAGCAAACGAAAAATGTGTGTTCTGATCAAACTGTTTCCTAATATATCAATCATATTGTAACAAATTTGTATTTTCAAAACAAGCATTGTGGAAGATCTGACTGTGTACTAGAAGACACTTAGGTGGGGAACAATATCAAATAATACAAGGTCACAGCCCTAAGTGTCTGCAGTGGTATTGCATGCACGTGCTCCCAGAATTCAGAAGAAGGGACTCCCATGGGCCTAGCAGATCAGGGATGGTTCTGCTAGGTGATGGCACCAGAGCTGGTCTGTGAGGACTATCCTGATGTTGCCCACAAGGTGCAGAGGGGCTGAGATGAGTGAGATGCATGCCATCACTGCTATTCTTCTACTGATTTGTCCTTAGTGGGGTTTATATCCATTTACCCTGGGGCACTCCTTCATTGGGTTGGTGCAGGAGGTTGGAGGCAGTCTACGTGGAGAGCTTGGCTTCCAACTCTTGGGAGAGAACAGCCCTTCTCTCTCATCAGGACACCTCGAGAGAGTGCGTAGGGGGAGTCCTAAAGCCCTTAGAGAATTCTGTGTGCTGGCCCCAAAGCAAACTATCGAGTAGGACTCACCTTGGGGAAGGCGTCTAGGAGCATTGATTGAGAAGATCTCTATTTCTGTGGCTTTTGAAGACATCATGAGAAATGGAGGTAGTGTTGATACTTCTGCTATCTGGATTGATTAACAGAGATGAGCTGACTGAAGGTATGTCTATACTAACCACCTGAGAAACCTAAAGCTTGGATCACAGGATGAAAAGTTATGGCTGTGATGATCAGTGTAGAGTCTTGACACAGGATTTTGGTGGAAGGTGGAACCACTGGAGGAGTTTAGTTCTTTGAGTGCATTGGGGGTCAGGTCTGTCTAGTCACTGCCAGTATGCTTGGCTGGCTTTTCCTTGGTTGCCTTTGCCAGTGTGGATGGACAGACCCTCTTGTGCATGTAAATCCAGACATCTAGATCTGATAACACCACCCCATCCTCAAAGCTCAGACCACTAGTTCAATGAAAACTTGACTCCCTCAGACCAGTGATCATATTAACTAACTAGCATAGTGCTGTAGAGTCAAAAATGTGCCTCCAGTTGCATATCCCATTTCTTTCTTTCTTTTATTTTACATTTGCTGAGCATTTCCTATGAATCTGTTACTGTGCTGCTGAGAGTACGTAGACAAGTGAGAGATGGTTGTCACCTGCCCTGGAAGAACTTCCTGTTAAACCAGTTGTGCAGTATTCTGACTGATGACGACCCCATGTGCATCTGAGTAGAACTGTGCTTCATAGGGTTTTCAATTGCTGGTTTTTTGGAAGTAGATTGTCAGATCTTTCTTCTGAGGCACCTTTGGGTAGACTCGGACCTCCAGCCTTTTGGTAAGCAGCTGAATGCATCAACTGTTTGGACACCCAGGAACTCTACTTCCTGTCTAAAACAAAGAACCAAACCCATTGCTGTCGAGTAGATTCCGACTCATAGCGACCCTATAGGAGAGAGTAGAACTGCCCCATAGGGTGTCCAAGGTGCCATTGGTGGATTTGGACTGCTGACCTTTTGGTTAGCACCCTAGCTCTTAACCACTGAGTCACCAGGGCTCCACTTCCTATCTAGTGGGGGCATCGGGGGGGAGTGCATAAATATGTTGTTGCCGTACAGGTTGATCAGTACTATGAAAGAGACTTACCTATGTTTTTATTGATGCTCAAGAGGAATTATTTCATTCTACCCAGGATAAGGAGCTCAGAGAGGGCTTCCAGGAGGTGGTGATCATGTACAAAGGGATGGGCAATATTTATTGAAGTTTTCTTCCCAGGGCTTCAGACTGGTTCGTTCTGGTTTGAACCCCTGCTAAGAATTTGCATTTCTAACAAGTGCCCTGCTGAGAATTTGCATTTCCACCCCAGATACACTGAATCAGGATGTAGAGTTTAACAAGATCCCCAGGTGATTCTTATGTGTAACTTCCCAGGAACTTGTTAGAAATGCAAATTCTCAGCAGGGATTCGAACCAGAAAGAACTGGTTGGAAGCCCTGGTTTCTTCTGTTCTAGGCGCTGCTGCCCTGAACACTATGCAGATACCACGACATTGAATCCTTATAGCTACGGACCCATTTTACAGACAACAATTGTAGTCATAGAGAAGGGGAGCCAGGGCTAGAAACCTGATTGTCTGACTCCAAGTCTGGTGCTCTGCTCAGCATATTCCGCTGCCTCTTACCCAGCAGGGCCACTTCTCAGAGCCAGAACTACGAGCCAGACAAACAGAACCATCTCCTCCACTGTTCTCATGGAAACAGCAAAATCATCCCCTGGCTGGGGCCAACTAGCAACTGTCAGACCAAGACATGTAATAATAATAATAACACACATTTTTGAAAAGAGGATGCCAATTGGGTAAATAATGAATGCATGGATTCAACCTGCTGCTTCCAGAACCCGCGTACCATTCCTACGACAATGGCAGAATTAGGCTCCTGAGTAATTAATTTTGCCTAAACATATAACAAGGGGGAAGTGAATTTTGTGCTGTGAACCAGTTCAGCTCTTAAAACTGGAGATAAATTGTTCTTGCACTCTGGCCCCCCATCACAACATCTGTGCGTAATTAAGCCTCAGCAAAGAGTTTACCTCTCAGTGTGCGAGGCATCTTCTGCTGCGTACGTGGGGTTTAATAACCTCAGCCCTGTGCTGTAAATCTCCACGCTTCAGACAAGCTTGGCACGCAAAGAAGTGTCGGGGAAACTGGGAGTGGGCAAGGGGCAGCCAGGCTGAATGGTCAAGACCAGGGTGTTTGTCGATTGGGCATCTCTTTGTATTTGTGTAGGGGAAAGGGTAAGCGGTGAGGTTAGCAACAAACCTGGGTAACAGCTGGGGACAAGGTAGGAGGAGAGAAACCTTATGACCACAGGGTTTGGGGAGAGGAAGAGAGAGGGTGTCTGTGTATCTGGAATTTGGGGAAGGTTGTGGGTCATCTGATGAGCAGGGCCATTCCAGGGTTTCTTAGTCTGAGATAGGGAGCCTGGGACCCTCCAGAACTTTTGCACAAACTCTGAGGGGATGTTCATGCTTCTGGAGAAGCTCCATGGCATACTAAGAATCTCAGAGATGAAGAACCACTGATTTATAATAATTATCACCACCTGCCAGTCAGTGCGTTGTACTGTGGTGGCTTGCATATTGCTGTGATGCTGGAAGCTATGCCACCAGTATTTCAAATACCAGCACGGTCATCCATCGTGGACAGATTTCTGCAGGGTTTCTGAACTGAGACTAGGAAGAAAAGCCTGGTGATCTACTCCTGAAAAGTAGCTGATGAAGATCTTACGGATCACAACAGAATATTTTTTGATATAGTGTTGGAAGATGAGCCCCCTAGGTTGTAAGGCACTCAAAGTACACAATAGCCACAACAACGGATTCAAACACACCACCGATCATGAAGATGGCACAGGACTGGGTAGCATTTCATTATGTTGTACAGAAGGTCTCCATGAGTTGGAGCTGACTCAAATGCAACAACAACAACAGCTGTGTTAGACAGCTTTAAGCATTTTACGTGTATTTTACTCTTTAACCTTTATAACAGCCCTGTGACGGAGATGCCATTATTAGCCCCAACGAGGAAACTGAGGCCCAGAGAAATCAAACCATTTGCCCAAGGTTGCACCGTGGGTAAGCGGCAGAGGCAGGCTTTCAGTGGAGGCAGCCTAGCTCCACTCTGCACGTTTAACCATGCTGCTGTGCTGCCTTCATAGTAACTTGTGGGAAAAATCTAAATCACAGTGAACTCTCTACCAGTGACTCTCATCCCTGGTTGTGTATCAGAACCACCTGTGAAACTATACATGGCTGGCATCATTACCCTACAGATGCTAGTACAAAGTCAGGACTGTTACTTCCTTTGTAAATGTCATCATTTTACAGATGAGATTACAAAACTCACCCAAGTCACATAGAGTGTGGGTGGCAGAGCTGAGGCTCCAGCCATCCAGTCTGACCCAGAGTCAGTGCTCTGGTTTGCTGGGCTCAGGTTGTGGGAGGTCTGCAGCCTGGCTGGTGAGTGCTGGCCCAGACCAGCCAGGGCCTGCTTCATAGGCATGCTGACCAAAGTACAGGAACAGAGCAAGAAGCACAGGGTCATGGGCAGGATAGCACACGGTGGGCTGAGGCTGAGGCCTAGAGTCTTAGTCTAGAACTTTCTATATTCTGTGCCTTCATTTTGGGGGTCAGGATTGGTGTCAGTGTGGGGTCAGGTGGAGCCCCCAGTAGGGGGCCTCTGCTCTGCTGCAAAGAGGTTGAACCTGGTGCCAGGGGGCCTGATGGCTACTGTATTAGTTTCCTCAGGCTGCCGTGACAAATTACCACAGACTGGGGGCTTACAACAACAAAAGTTTATTCTCTCACGGTTCTGGAAGCCAGAAGTCTGAAATCAAGGTGTTGGTTGAGCCATGCTCCCTGCAGAGTCGCCTCTTCCACTTCTGGTAGGCCCAGGCCTTCCTTGACTTGTGGCTGCATCACTGCCTCTGACTTCATACAGCTGTCTTCTCTCTGTGTCTCTTCTCCTCTTATAAGGACACCAGACATATTGGATTAGGACCCATCTTACTTCAGTATGACCTCATGTTAACTAATACATCTATAACGACACTATTTCCAAATAAGGTCACATTCACAAGTACCAGGGGATAGGACTCGCGCCTATCTTTTCCGGGAACAGAAATCAACCTGTAACTGCCAGGGCGTGACCTCGACTGTGGGGCAGAGGGCGCCCTGACCATAATCCTCTCGGAGTTTGGTTTGGTTTTGCAGGGTAGGGGTGAGTTCTTGTTGCCTCTTTTTAATTTTTCTCTTTTCCCTCTCCCTTCCTTGATGGAAGAAGCAGAGTAGGAGCAGGGGTGATGGAGTGAAGTAAATTTCAGCCTAAACCCCCAAGCCCTCCTGCCCGTGTGGTGATTTAGAGGCAAGTCACATGGTCTCCTGTCCCCCTGTCAAAGCCGCGTTTCTGCTACCTGAGCAGTTCGGCATTTTGCAGCATCATGTTCACCGAGGGGCCCCTGCTGTCCTCCCCGAGCACCCACGACAATCCCTTTTACTTCCCAGGTTTGAGATTTCTGTCATTTCAGATCTAAGCAGCTGGAGCAAGGCGGGTACTCTGTTTGTCAGACTGGAAATGGTTACATTTGGAGGGAGACAAGGGGCAAACCCGAGTCCACCCACATCCCCGATTCATGAGCCCAGGGGTCTTCTTTTTCTATCCATGGCTCTTTCGAGACTGTTTTCCAAGTCACCCCAGAGAGGCCCGGCTGGGGGTCTGATTTTGAATCTCCAAAGCCCCAGGCACCCACAAAAAAGTTTAGTTTTTCAAAAAAACAAAAGAACTGAACCCCAAAACATGTCCCTTTCATTTGGAAGTCAGGAGCAACAATAACAACGAAAAACTCACACTCATATTTTTAAAGGCACTTTTTGAAAAATGCCAAGCAAGTCTGAATTTTAAGTTCAAAGTGACACAGAATCACCAATTTCTCTATTGGCCCAGATTTTCAAATGGCACAAACCACAAGCAAGCAGCACCCAAAAATAACTCCTTAATTTCAGTTGGAACCTTTCTTCCAAGGAACCCAGAGTGCTTCACTTGTCAGAACAGCCCCGTTCACCCTCAGAGCTCCTTACTGAGAATAGGGTAGGAGCAATTTTCCTTTCTAATGGGGAAAACTAAGGCATAGAGGCTGGTCTAAGACTCAGCAATTATTAGCAGAACTAGGAACAGGAAACAGGTCTCTTGACTTGAAGGCCACTATCTTACGGCTAGGATGAGTTTTGGCGGTTTGGGTAGAGGAAGACCTTGTTCCCCCAAATACTTGAATGAACTGTCTTGGTTTCCTTATTTGTAAGAGGAAATAGGCCTATCAAATTGTCGGGGGAATGGGGCATGCTGAAAACCAGGTGATTCTGCCTTCCTGGCCGTGGTGGTGCTGATGGGTGCCACTTACTCATATGGCAGCCAGCAACCCTTGGTGCAGTCCAATTTCTTGCCTGTTTCTGGGGAAATCTGTTCTCTTCTTCACTGTTGGGTGTTCACAGAATCGAGGGAGTTGGAGGGCATATCAGTTAGGAATGCACTTGTCTGCAGGTAAATGAATGCCCAATTTAGAGTGCCTTAAACAAAAAGAATTTATTTTCCTCACATGGCAAGAAGGCTTGCAGGAGCTGCCTGCTGACATTGTTTTAGTTACTTGACAATATCAGGTCTGGCATTTCTGTGATGTTCTTTTCCTCATGGTTGCAAGATAGCTGCTGCAGCTCTAGGTATCATATTCACTTTCAAGGCAGGAAGAGAAGGGAAAGAGAAGTAGTATCATCTGCAAACATCCCTTTTTATCAGAAAAATAAAAACTGTCCCAGAATCCCCTAGAAAACATGCACTTATGTCTCATAAGCCATATCTAGTTGCAAGGCAGACAGGGAGAATAGTTTTTCCTGACTTTGAGTTGGAGGTAGGCAGGGAGAGGAGAAGGATTGGGAATAAGCATTGAGTTAGAATCCAGCATTGTCTGCCACAGAGGGTTTGAAGGAAATAAGCATGAGAAAACTCATAATTCTCTGATCAAAAAATTTATCATCTGGTAAAAACTCATTCAGTACATGCAATACACCTATTGCACAGTTGTAGAAACTGAGGCCGAGGGTTAAGATTTATGCGAGGAGCTTGAACTGGTGGTGGGAAGGGGAGAGGAAACCAGCTTTTTTAACACTGACTCTGGCCCAGGTCAAGGAGGTTCACATATTTTCCCCCAAGTCCCAGTTTGTTTTGGGCTTTTAAGCGTGACTGAGGAGGATGGGGAAGCAATTGTGTGGTCCCTAAACAAGAGGAAACCTGTTGCTGTCCAGTCGATTCTAACTCATGGCAGTTCCATGTGTGTCAAAGTAGAGCTGTACTCCATAGGGTTGTCAATGGCTGATTTTTTGAAAGTAGGTTACCAGGCCTTTCTTCTGCAGTGCCTCTGGGTGGATTCGGGCTGCCAACTTTTCAGTTAGTAGTTAAGTGCAAACCATGTTTGCCACCCAGGGATCTAAACCTGTTGCTGTCAAGCCTGTTCCGACTCATGGCAGCCCCACATATTTCAGAGTATAGCCGCACTCCATAGGGTTTTCAATGGCTGTAATCTTTATGGAAGTAGATCGCCAGGCCTTTCTTCTGCAGTGCCTCTGGGTGGATTTGAACTGCCAACCTTTTGGTTAGTAACCGAGCACAAACCATTTGTGCCACCCAGGGGTTGGGGCCACCCAGGGGTGAGGAAGGTCTCTAGATGAGTGGGCCTAGCTGGTGGAGGCAGAGAAATCTGCCCTTCTTTCTTAGCCTGGCTGCTTGCTTTTCCCACCCTGGGCACTGCTAAGGTCCTTCTCGGGCCCCTTCTCCTGTTGTAGGAAGGAACATCTCTGCTGTCTGGCTCTCTGTGCCTCACTGTGGTCCTCACCCCTGGCTCCCAGCCTTCCTAGACCATCTGACCTGCCCTTTCCTATTCCAGATCCCCCGAATCTACTGGGAGCTCTCCACCAAGCGGGTCCTTCTGATGGAGTTTGTGGACGGCGGGCAGGTCAATGACAGGGGCTACATGGAGAGGAACAAGATCGACGTCAGTGAGGTGAGTCCCAGAGCTCAGGGACTGCTGTGCCCGAGGACGGGGGCTTGGTCCAGCAGCCTGGCTTGGGCAGACGTGGCCAGGATGAGGCCTCGAGTCTGGCCCCGCTGCCTTGAAATGTGGGCCGTATGTGAAGGATTATAAAATCTCAGAGTAAGAAAGCCCCTTTCAGCTCATCTAGTCCAGCGCTATGCCCCATCTAAAGCTGGTGCTCGCAGTACATGGTGGGGGCAGGGGCATACTGAGCCTCAGGCTGAATTTTGGGATGGTCCCGGAGTCTTATTTTCACTTGAAGATGTGAAGGAGATTGACAGTTCTTTTTTTCTTTTTCAAATAAGTTCTTCCATCTTTATTTTTGTAAACAAAACAAAAGGAAACAAAAAAAACAACAACCAACCAACCAAGCAAAAAACGCAGCAACAGCAAAGTCACCACCAACCACGTGACAACTGAGACTGACAATTTTTATTTAAAACAAACATGGCTATATTCTGGAGCAGAATGAAAACTTGGTGCGAAGTTTAAGATAAATGAGAGTTCAAGTAAATTAAGTGCCCTTCTCCCACCCCTAGGGGGTCCTGTACCTGCTCCCCTGTGTTAGGAAAACAAGTAGACAAAATCGAGGAGCCCTGCTACCTGCATCTGTTTAGTGGAGCCCATTCAGCTCAGCTAACATTTCTTGGGCATCTACTGGGCATATAGCCTGTTTTGGATACTGGAAATAGAGACAAGGTCCTGTCCCCAAAGAGTGCATGATCTAAAGAGTGACACTGTAGAGATGTATATAAAAACAGCTTTAATAAACTTTGAGAATATGGTGAAAGAGCTGTGTCTAAAGTGTTCTGGTAACTCAGAACACTTGTAATTCAGCCAGGAAGGGATGAGTAAGAAAGAAAAGGCTTTAGGGGAGGAGGTGGCCTGTGGGTTGGGCCATGATGGGCAGGGAGCTCTCCAGTGGGCTCGGGAGCAGAAGGCGTTTCAACCTGTGTAGTGGGCAGAGACAGGGATATATAACCCCCTCTACAACGTTGTTAGCGTGGGATCAGCCAGGTTCCTGTGGAATGCCTCCAGTGACAGGGAACTCATTACCTCTTCAAATAGTTTCCCCAGGGTCTAGCACAGTGCAGACCACATAGTATTTAACGAATACTTACTGAACAAAGGAATAAACCAACCGGCCAGCCAAACGGGTTGCTCTTTCCATCGCTGGACATCTCTACCTGTTGGCCTGAACACAGCCCAGGTGCTGGGAGGCTTTCACCTTCAGGGTTCAGAGAGCAGAGCAGAGTGCATGGGTGCTGCCACCCTGCCACTGGGCACTGCTTGGCCCTGGGTGGGCGATGCTGTGTCCTGGAAGCCCAGCACACCACAGGTGTAGGGTCAGAGCCACCCTACCCTCAGGGACTTACCACATAGCACCTCTCCTCCCTACAGCTCCTGCTTGGACAAGCAATTTCTCATCTTTCTTGTACCATTTGAGCCCCTCAGAGCTGAGTGACCACAGAGAGCAAAGGTGTGAAATCAGTGGGGCTCAGTCCTTCTGCCGCTGTGGAAACTGGACAATGTCCCATTCTCTTCTTGCCCTCTGCTCTCCCTGTCGCTACTCAGAACGTAAGGTATCAGGCAAAAAGGAGCCAGAGCCCCCTGTGAGGACCGCAGTAGCTAACTGTGTCAGCTTTACAGACCTAGGGAAGAAGGAGGGGCTTTTGTCTCCCTAGATGGTATAAATGCTTTATGTGCTCAGCTGCTAACAGAAAGGTTGGAGGTTTAAGTCCACCTAGAGGCGCCTCAGAAGGAAGGCCTGGGGATCTACTTTCAAAAAAATCAGCCATAGAAAACCCTATGGAGCACAGTTCTACTCTGACACACGTGGGGTTGCCAAGAGTCGAAATCAACTTGAAGACAGCTGTTTTTGTGTTCCCCACCTCCCACCCCCTTGGCCTCAGGGTAACTGGCCAGTAGGGGCTGTAGCCTATACCCCATTTTCTTCTTCTTGGTCCCCACAGGGTCCCTGGGGTAGGCATTGTGCCTTTTCAACAAAATTCATCATGTTAAAAGTACCTACTGTGTGTGAGCTATGGGGGTTCAGAGGGGGAATTGGACACAATCCTTCTTTAGGGAGCTCATAGCCTAGCATTGGAATCAGGCACACAACTAAATCTAGATATGGTTCTGGCCATATCTAGGGCAGCAAGAGGGGTATGAGCGAGACGCTGGGGAAGATGAGGAAAAAGCACTCACCTCTGCCCACAGGTCTTCCTTGGGAGGACCCACAGGAATTGGCCAGGTGAGGGGAAGGGGAGGGTATAGGTGTAGTTTGACAGGGCTTGGGGTGGGGTCTTAGGGAATATAGGGAGATGAGTAGGGGTAGAGGTGTAGGATAGTTGGTGAAGGTCTTGGGTATTACCTTGGAGGTAGTGGGGGGTCACTGAAGGGTTCTGAGGAGTGCAGTGATGTGATCTGCCACTCCGACTGGGTAGGGAAGAAGAAATGGAAGGGACCAGTAAATAGAACAGTCACTGCCCACCAGGAAAGAAAAAGGAATGGAATGAAGGATGTTCTTTCCTGCTCCCCCCTCCAAGGCAACACACAATGACCCTGAGGGGCCAGAGGGGAAAGCCACACCTTGGCTCAGCAGATGAGCCAGCTAGAATTGTGGGACAGTGTGGCAGTTGTGAGCACAGCCCCCTGGTGGCCTCTGTAAATGGTATCATAGTACCTTCTATGATCGTAGTTCCTGGGTGGTGCAAATAGTTAAGTGCTTGACTATTAGCCCAAAGATTGGTGGTTGAAACCCATCCAGAGGTGCCTCGGCAGACAGGCTTGGTGATCTACTTTCAGAAGGTCATAGCCTTAAAAATCGTATGGAGCAGTTGTACTGTGCACACGTGGGGTCACCGTGAATCTGAATCAACTCGCCAGCAACAACACGGTAACTACCTCCAAGAGGGGTTGTGACATCAACATGAGTTAATGCACAGACAGTGCTTAGCACAGTGCCTGGCATGGTAGCTAGATTCTTATTTTCATTATCATTGGGCCATGTCCTTTCCTCCTTCCTCCTTTGCCAAGTGTTCAGTGAGTGGGCACTAATATTTATTGAATACCTACTTCCCTGTGCACACCCGCCTTTCAGTGGAGGCTTGTATGTTGCTGTGATGCTGAACAGGTTTCAGCTGAGCTTTCAGACTAAGATGGACCAGGATGAAATACCTGGGTGTCTAATCAGCCAGTGAAAACCCTGTGGATCACAACGGTCCAATCTTATTGTGCACGGGGTCACCATAAGTCCGGGGCAGTCTCTACGGCAGCTAACATCTACGCAACTAACAACACCTCCCTGTGCTAGGCCCTTTCTCATTGTAAACTTAGGAGTTAGGTCTTCTTGTCTCCATTTTGCAGATGAAGAGTCAGAGACTCAGAGAGGAAAGGTAGCTTGCTAAAGGTCACACAGCTAGTAGAGTTGGGATTGAAACCCAGGTCTCTTTGACTCCAGTGCTCCTCTTAAGCCATAAAGGGAGGGGATACACCAAGGTATATGGAGCAGCCGCTGTGGACGTGGCTGGGAAATGTAGCCTGAGTCACACCGGGCAGCCTCCTGGGGAAGCTTTGTCCCCTGACTAGGGGAACAGGAAACAGTGCTCCAAGAACAACCCCTTTGGGGACCTCAGGTGTGTGGGCATGGTGGGGGGCAGGGGCGAATGGGCACCGAGCCCACCCTGCTTCACCTGGGACAGCGCCACCATCATCTGAGTTGCATATTGGGCTTCTGTGGATGATTCCTTTCAAAGAAAGAGTTCTACTGCTTGGGGGAAAAGGATAAGAAACTACTGTTCCATTTCAACCCTTCCCCCCACTTTATGGATGGGGAGTAAAGCTCAGAGAGGAGAGCAAATGTCTTTCCGGAGGTCACTCAGCCAGTAGCACAACTTGGGGCTTCTGCCTTGTCTTCCATCACTGTTGGCTCCTTGATGGGCACAAGGAGGGTGTCGGGGCAGAGCTTCCTGCAGAGGGAGAGAGAAGGCTGCACTGAGCCTGGGACCCTGTTCCCACCAGGAGTCTTGACTACAAAGTCATTGGCTCCAGTAGGGTAGGGATAGGATGGGAGGTCACCTCTGGCTTTTCCTCAACAGCCTTACAGGGGAGCAAAGTCTCTGCCTCTGATCAGGAAAGAGCCCAGAACCCCACCCCACCCATCTACCAGGTTATTGGCATTTACTTACTGCCAGCTGCTGTGGGATTTTCGTTCCAGTAGCACCCACAAATCCATTAATCTCTTTGGATCTGGGTAAGCCCAGGGCTCTAATGGTGTTTCATCTGAGGTGCCTTTGATTTTTAAAGACAGGTGCAAACACAGAAAGACGTGCTCTGGCGTAGTTGCTTGCTCCTGGCCCAGTGAGGTGTCTGGGAGGAAGAGGTGGGCAGGGAGAGCTGGGGCAGGGTGGTGCCCACTGAAGCCTGGGCTCATCTGCTCACACCTCCACCCCTCTTTACGACAGCCTTGCACATGGAGAATCAGACGCAGAGAGGGAAGGTGACTTGCCTAAGGTCACAAATCTTAAACACTTCAGTCAATTTTCATATGGACAGACCATGTAATCACCAGTCAGATAATGCTACAAATCATTTCCATCGCCCTCGCAGGTTCCCTCATGTCCCCTCCCAGTCAATACCCACACCTCCACAGACTAACCACTGCTCTGACTGTCACTATAGATTACTTTCGGCCCACTGTTGGACTTCATATACATGGAATCCTACAGTCTAGTCTTTTGGATCTGCCGTCTTTGTTGTAAATTAGGTGTGATCTTTTACTGGAATCTCTATTCTGTTCCATTGGTCTACTGGTCCATCCTTGTAATAATACCATATTATCTTAATTACTTAATCCCCTGCCCCTGGCCTGTAGGGTTTGCATGACTATATTTGGGAAGCTCTTTGGTGTTCTGAGATTATGTAATTAAATGCTTACTTCCACAGAAATCCCAGGCTGGGCAATGGGC